AGGCAACGGATGGAACGAGTATAGAGTTTAAAGAAAGTGCTTTGGTGTGGCACCATCAAGACGCAGATCCGGACTTTGGATCATGTCAAGCTAAGGAGATGCTTGATCATCTAGAGAGTGTTCTCGCCAATGAGCCTGTCGTTGTAAAGAGAGGTCAACACATCGTTGAAGTCAAACCACAGGTGATTAAAAACCTATCTCTTTCACTTGCATATCCACACAAGTACTTTGCAAAACTTGTGAATTAGGATCACACATGGAAAGTTAGAGGAGATATTATAAAAAAGACATGGCCAATTGGCTTATTGCCAATTGGTTTTGCGTATGGAAGCCATACAAATTTAACATAGAATTTGCTTTGACATTACTCATTGTAATGAATTCAGGGTGTAAGCAAAGGTTTAGCTGCGGAAAAGGTAATCCGAGGAATGGTAGAACGCGGGGAGCCACCGGAAATGGTGATGTGCATAGGAGACGATAGATCAGACGAAGACATGTTTGAGAGCATATTAAGCACAGTGACAAATCCAGAGCTTCTTGTTCAGCCAGAGGTTTTTGCATGCACGGTTGGAAGAAAACCAAGCAAAGCTAAATACTTCTTAGACGATGAAGCCGACGTGCTTAAGCTCCTAAGAGGCCTTGGAGACTCATCATCAAGCTTAAAACCCACATCTTCTCACACACAAGTTTCATTTGAAAGCATCGTTTAAAGTGGGGAAGTGCCAAAAAATAACATAACAACATCAAAATGTAAAAAAACATGATATAGGCTTTTGAAGAATTTGTCTTTCTTCTTGCCTCTATTCACGGTTGTTTTTTGGGGTAAATTAGGAACTTTTGTCTTCTCTTGTACAGAAACTTTTTTCTTCTCTTCTATTTAAATTTATTAAATTCCATTATGGGCTCAACCACATTAGTCATTATCAGGAATTGAGAGGTTCATGTTGTTGTCGTTGAGGGACCAACTAGAGAAAGTTATTGGTGTTTGTAAATTTATGTCATGTCCATTTATTTCCCCAACGATCGATCGCTCTTCTTTCTTTATCATCCGACGGTCGTGGCCTTTTTTTTTTTAATGTTAAAAAAGTTTTTGTTTTCGCCAACTCAATGGATTGTTAAGGTTTAGCTCAACTTGCTTATTTCCAGCCCATGAGGTTCAAGCGTCACCAAACTATCAACTCATAATTATGTTGGAAATTCTTTTTTTTTGTTCCTTAAAAGAGTTTAACCTATATGGTGAAGAATGATTTACTAAAATAAATTTTATTATTTCTGCTTTTGAATAATTTTTATTTTATATATATATAATTCGTATAAAAACAAAAAGAGTTCCCTGTTGATGAATCTTCTTTTCTCTAAGTTAAAGTGTTTTTATCAATTAAAGATTAAAGCGACCATTTTTCACCTTCTTTCTCATTGGTCCTTTTCTTTTGTTGTTTGGCTTTTACACTTTTTCCATTGAAGCTAAAAAAAATATTTCTATTTTTTTCTCTCAACATATTACTATTGTTGACCAAAAAAAACATATCACTATTTTATGTTATGTTTTTCACTGTTTCCAAATTTTTAGTAGAATCAGCATCCGAAGTTGCGAGCACCTAATTATTCTCAGAACAAAAACAATTATTCACAAACGTTTAGTTTCACTTCTTTCTGTTTTCTATGGGTTTATTACGTTAATTATATATATACTATACTTATCCCCTATATATTAATTGAAAAGCATTTTAAATAAAAACATTACCTTCACGTGTGATTTACAAGACTGCCATGCCGACATATCGCAACCAGAAAAACTCTGAGCAAACTTAATAATTGTTCAATATTTACTAGACTAATTACATATAATGCTATTAGTGGTACTTATGCATATTTTTCTTCTATATTTAAGAGATTAACAATTAATAAAGGAAATTAATAAAACCTATATATATTAATTGAGAAGCATTTTAAATAAAAAAACCTTACCTTCACATGTGATTTACAAGACTGCCATGCTGACATGTCGCAACCAGAAAAACTCTGAGCAAACTTAATAATTGTCCAATATTTACTAGACTAATTACATATAATGCTATTAGTGGTACTTATGCATATTTATCCTCTATATTTAAGAGATTAACAATTAATAAAGGAAATTAATTAATAAAACCTATATATATTGACAAAACAAGTAAAAAGTATATAGCATAAATCATGATGAACAATATATAATATAAATTTTTATTATATGTTTTGTACTTATATTTTTTATATGTTTTATAAAAAACATTTAGAATTTTAACATATACGACATTCTATTTTTTGTTATAAATTACAAAACATCTAAATGTATATGTGAGCCCATATGTTTCTTAAATATATTTGGAACATAGTTTTACATAAATTAGTTAGTAACATTTCATTTATTACACATTCACTATGAACAATATTTAATATTAATCTATGTTAAAAATGTATCCGCTTACTCATTATTTTCAATATTATTTCTTTTCAAATTTTTACCTTATCAATTTATTAAAACTTTTACACGGTTCATTCAATTTAATTAGTCATTTACTCATTTTAGTTACAATTTATTTACAACCCAATACCTTATCGTAACAATATAAATTGATTCATAAAATGAGGGTTATGCAATAAATCAATCCTAACTACATAGAATTATCAAGAATAATAAAGGATAATAAAATTTTATTACGTTTAAAAAATAATTATTCATACTCTTTTCAGTTTTTATATTGAACTATTTCCAAAATAAAATCTTAATTAAAATACGAAAAATATTCGAATATATTTCAGAATTATAGGAATGATATTTCAAAAAAAAATTTTGGTCAATATTTTAATTTAAAATCTTATTCCAAATATGGAATATCCTAATTCCTAACTAATAAAATCTCCAAAATATATGAGTTACTAAATCATATTCAAATATTCACACTTATATATCAAGTGATAATATATAATCGGTTTGCAAAATTTTTTTTATTTATTTCATATAACTATTTCTTTCCGCACATAATGTGGGTAAATTATCTAGTACTACATTAATTATCGGGAAAAGGATGCTTCAGAAGACAAGTATGTCCACCGTTGTGCTCACATGAAAAGACCAATACATTTCATTTTCACATTTTTGGTTAGCATTTAGCAAATATCAGCAAATATTTTAAGAGAAATATTAATATAATATTTAAATATTAAAAGCAGAGTCCAAAGTCTTGTAAATCAGCTAGTAAAGGCTTTATTGTCGATAAATAAGATCTAGACAATGTTTGTTTTATGTATGATAAAATGTTTGAAACAAAGTTATTTCAGTAGATAAGATTCAATTGGGGGGAAATAAAACATATGGAGTCTTTAAATATGATAGCAGGGCCGGTCCTACGAGTTATGGGGCCACAAACAATTACAGTTTGGGGGTCTCATAATCTATATATAAATTTTTTTTTTTACTGTTTGGGGACCCCAAAATCTATACATATTACTCGTTAAAAATTTGGGGGCCCAACACGAATGTTTCACCCGGCTGTGCTCAGTTACGGCTCTGTATGATAGAAGAGGTAAAAAACAAAACAACAAGAAGAGAATATACAAAACAAATCAAAAGAGGTAGATTACGAGCTAAACAAAAAAAAAAAAAAAAAAAAAAAAAACAAGAAGTGAAAAGAGGTAAAAAAGAAACAAAGCGAACAAGAAGTGAATTTACAAAATAAATAGATAAGGGCAGCGCGAAACAAGGATATTGGTGCGAGAATATATGCACTGTTTGACTCTTAGTCGTAAACTCTGACTGTGTAAATGACTACTTTACCCATTCATTTAATCGTCGTAATAACAAAAAGATCAGAGTAAAATAATAGACAGACACGTTACCTTCGTACACGTGACGTACTCCAAATGGATCTTAAATGACACGTGCCCTTCCTTTATTGGATGCCTTTTTTGCTAGAGTTAGTGGCCATTCAAAGAAAGCCAGAGCAAAATCATAAAATTAATTAAAAAATCTCTCTTTTTTTTTAATATAATATACAACTTTGTTTTTTTTTTTGGTTCTAAACCTAAACTAATTTCCAAAATATATTTACTATTTTTGTTTTAATATATATATATATATATATTGTATTTACCATTTAATACAACCATGATAACCACAATTTATTAACCATAAATAAACTCGCATTTAATAAAACTTTTGTAATATGGGTATATTGGTTTGAAGACTTTTTGCATTTAAGAGTGATTTTTCAGTATTACAAAATTGTATGAATTCAACAAAAATATTCTTATAAACACTTAAGCAAACCAACATATCATCAATTATTTTTACATATGACAAAATTATCAGTATACTTTAAAATTTCTATACATTATTTTATAGGATTATAGAATAACTATATATAAAAGACATGTATGAGTTATGCTCTTAAAATATTATCTAAACCATAAAAAGATAAATAAAGTTCCATACTTCATACTAAAAAAGTTACAATTTTTACCAATAATCTAATTATAATAGAAAAATTTGTACTTATTCTGTGGTTATAGAATATATTCCATCACATAAATAATAAATTAGAAAAGCTGAACTTTCTTTTTAACCAGGTGCTTGTCTCCTGGTGGTATAAGAACCTCGGCTGAAGCACCCGCCACCCGTCTTCGAGTCCCGGCCACTATGCAATTTACCTACGGGGCGCAGCGTTCCAGACTACCAGATCCGAGGAGCCCTTAAGTGGAGGCTTAAAAATCCAAGGAACGCGGGCTTAGGTCCAGTGGGCTAGTCGGATCATAGTGTGGTCTGGACACTGAGTTATAAAAAAAAAAGCTGATCTTTTTATACATAAAAAACTTATTTAATCACCAAGTCCAGAGAATATAGTTCGGGCCTTATTCCACTAAACTCAAAAAGTTTAAATTTTGATATTGCTACTTAACAAACAATAAAATTAAATTAAACACCAACCCAGACAAAAACCTTCACTTATTTTTAATTAACAAACAAAAAAAGTAACGACGTTGATCGCATCACATGACTCTTCTCTCTCTCTTTCCCACTGAGACACTGTCTTCACTCTTTTTTGCTTATCAACAAAACTCTGCACAAATCTAACCTCTCTGTTTCCTTCTTCATCGAGAAACCTCAAATTTCAAATCTTCGCATTGTCCGCCATTCTTATTCTTCCCCCAGAGAAGCTTCTTACTTTTTTCCTCTGCCGCTCTAAAGTTTAAATCTTGTCTCTTCTTCAAAATCGAATCAATGGGTAGAGATTTTCTTGTTCTAAGTATTCTCATTCTACTCCTCTCTGGGTTTGTTTCTTCAGCTCCTTCAGCTAATTCTCCCGCAAGTAAGTGTAATCACATTTCTTAACCTTCGATTTCAGTTTCATCTTTGCTTAATTGTTTCAAATCTTACGTCTTTCACAGAGATTCTTAATGGGTTTATCTCAAATCATGGCTCTTCTCTAATGAAATGGTTATGGTCACTCAAAACCACAACCAAAACAAGTTCGAATCTTTCCCCTTTTCTGATCATAAAGTTTGCTTTTTTATCTTCTTCAAGATTAGGTTTTTATCAATAAAGCTTTCTCCTTTTTTTCTGAATCAGCTATTGCAACGAGATCGATGGTGAAATTTGAAAATGGGTATAGTGTAGAAACAGTGTTCGATGGAAGCAAACTTGGTATTGAACCGTATTCGATTGAAGTCTTACCAAACGGCGAGCTACTTATTCTTGATTCTGAGAACAGTAACATCTACAAGATCTCATCTTCTCTTTCATTATGTGAGTACAAATTGTGTGGTTGAGACCACGATTGTTCTTTTGTCATCACCTAAAACTGAATGCACATGGGAACTGTAGTACAAAGATGCTGCATATGGAAAAATTGATGGAATTTTTTGGTACTTCAATTGAAAATTCTAAGTCTGAAGCTTTATTACTATTTTATGGAGATTTTGCTGTATCTTTGTCGTTTCTGGAGTGAGTTTGTCGGGGATAATATCAGTTAGTAGTACTTAATTTGCGGAATTTGACTTTTCCAAGATGAGATCTAAAACAAAAAGTGTTTCTTTCAAATGGTTAAGAATAGAAACAAAAGCTTAAATTGGTTTGCAAAAGTGTTTCTTTCTGCATATAAGCTGCATTTTAATATTAACTGTTTGGTTGAGTTCTTGTTTTGAAATGCTTTCTCTATTTTGAGTTTTATTAATATGGAAACACTTGCAGATAGTAGGCCAAGACTGGTTACTGGCTCTCCTGAAGGATATCCGGGTCATGTGGACGGGAGATTACGTGATGCGAAGCTGAATCATCCTAAAGGGCTTACAGTTGATGACAGAGGAAACATATATGTGGCTGACACTGTGAATAATGCTATCCGGAAGATAAGTGAAGGAGGTAATTGTTTGTTACATAACTGCATTCATGGAAGGGTTTAAGGGAGTTTGGTTATATACACATTTGTTTCTTGTACTGAGTTTAAATGCCTATGATGTGAAGGAGTTACAACAATTGCTGGGGGCAAAACGGTTCGAAATGGAGGGCATGTGGATGGACCAAGTGAAGATGCAAAGTTTTCCAATGATTTTGATGTTGTTTATGTTGGAAGTAGTTGTTCTCTGCTCGTTATTGACCGAGGAAACAAAGCCATCAGAGAGATTCAACTCCATTTCGATGACTGTGCTTATCAGTATGGAAGCGGGTTTCCTCTTGGTAAACTTACAAAAACACCAATCCCTCTTCTGTTTGTCTTCTTTGCATTCTTTGAATAACCGTCTCTGAATTCAATGTATTGCAGGGATTGCGGTTCTTGTTGCTGCAGGTTTCTTTGGTTATATGCTAGCTCTGTTGCAACGAAGAGTCGGTTCTATCGTTTCTTCTCATAATGTAAGTGTTTTAAATCTTCTCTAATACATCTCAAACATTGCCCTGTCTTATTATTCTTCTGCTAAAACAATTCAAACATTTCTTACACAGGATCAAGAAATGTACGAAGCTGATCCTGATCAAAAGTCTATGAAACCATCCAGACCATCTCTTATTCCAACCGGAGATGAGCAACAAGAGAAACAAGAGGAAACCTTTGTGGTATCGCTAGGAAAACTCGTTTCAAATGCTTGGGATTCCGTTATGGAGATCCTCCGAAAAAAGCAGACAGGCACCAGCTATCAGCAGTACCATGGGACAACAAAGCAGTCTGCTGCATTTAGCACATCAACTCCATGGCCAATTCAAGAGAGCTTTGTGATTCGAGACGAAGACGAACCTCCTCCAGTTGAGCCCAGGAACCCAACTCCAAGAAAGATTTATGCTTTTATGTCCAAAGACGCTGAAAAAATGCAGCAGCTGCGTCAGAGCCGCGCATTCTACAGTAGCTGGGACGCTGAATTCCCCAATCAGCAACAGCAGCAAAAGCAGCACCAGAAGCATCAGCAGCAGCAGCAGCATCGAAGGCATTACTCATCGATCCCGCATACTTATTATGAGCAGGACAGTGAAAAAACTAATGAGATAGTCTTCGGAGCGGTCCAAGAACAGAGCAGCAAGCGAGCGGCTAAGCCTAAGCCAAAGCCTATAGAGTCTGGAGATCAGATGAATAATACTCAACAGAATCTTCACTACAGATCTCATTCTGTTAGTTACCCGTATGGATACTATCCGCATACATGAAAAGTATCCGGTTTTGTGAGTCTCTGGGATTCTCAGTCTTCCTTAATAAGATTATGCAGGAAGTGTAATATTTTTGGGTATAGGTGGGTTTGTATTGGGGAATTTTAAGATTATGCTCATACTTTGATTGTATTGGGTAATATATATATGGAAAAAAATGATTCTGTTCCTTTGCTTTAAATTAAAGAATCAAATGTTTTGAACTTGTTTACAACATTGTTAAACAAGTGTTCAACAACATCTTCAAAGTTTATAGAGTTCATTAGATTTATCCTGAGATTTCCATCGAAGGCTTTGTGTCGGTGGAACAAAGCACAAAGAACGAAAAGATGAATGCAACCATGGCTGATCCTATCATTTTAGAGATGCTACATATGTGGCATTGAAAGGAGGTTGGCTCAAGGGTCTAGCAAATGAGATTGGTTTCTCCCAAAAACTTGGAAAATCTCTATAGTTTTCATATATTACTTTTTTTAAAGAATTTAGTTCATGAGAAAACAAAGCAGATTTGATGTCATGTTACATTTTATTCTAAGACATGATAAGTGATGGCTTTATTCGAGTGGTCAAGATTACTATTTTACAAAAGGTTTGAAAGTGATCAAATTTTTTAGTGTGACGAAAAAGAGAGTAAGACTCTGCATGATGCAGAAGGTTACTCTTAAGGAAGCTTAAGTCGAAGACACATGATAGGCACGTGAGAGTACGTTTTTTGTATCTTCTTCTTTTGTTTTTTTTTTTTTATGGAAAAAAAAGAATTGTATATAGTCTTCTTCTTTTTTTTTTTTTTTTTTTTTTTTTTTTTTTTTTTTTTAATATATTTTATTAAATCCCAAAATTGGGCTTTGGCTGATGGGCCAAGAGAAATAAACGGGTTACAAAAAAGGAACGGTCCAAATCGGAAAAACACAGCGAAGTAAGATCTGAAGAAGGCAGAACACCGGAAAACACGATCCTCGCCTTCCAAGTCCGATGCTAACAAGAACGGTTCCTTTGCGGACAAGTCCTCGACATCGAGACATTGACCGGAGCTAGCAAATCCCGTCGCAACCTGTCGCCGAGAAACAAACCGAACCTAGAACTTTCCTTTCGGAAAAGGTAGAACCGCCACAACCGAGACGACCTCTTCTCCCCGACCTAGCAAGAAGAGAGACATCAAAACTAACCCTTACCTCCCTCGACGTTCACCCTTGAACCACTCCAGAAGCTGATCCAGTCTTCAGATCCGGCAAAGAGGAAGCCAAAAACGGTGGCAGATGAAGGACGCCGGCTCAAAACAAGCCATCAACCACCAAGATCCGGCCAAGGATCATCCGAAACTAGCCAAAGGATCCGGCCAAGGATCCACTGTTAACCTCTTCGCAAAGTGGCGAACCCACCGATCCATCACTCAACTTCCGCCGCCGCCGGAGCTACAACTCATCAGCCGCCGAGCCGTGAGAAACCAGATCCAATCCACCGGAGTCCTTTAACCAGTAGAACGCATGGACCGTTTCTCAGCTGCCGTGAAGGAGAGCCACCGTAAGCATCGAATGAAGGACCAAACCACACCTCACACCACCGGAGAAGAAAGTCGCTCACCACCGCTTCTTCTTATTTCAGATTTGAGAGTTAAAATTAAAAAAAAAAAAAGAAAAAAACAAGAGATTTGAGTGACAAAGCGTCCACACTTATAATGACGATTAGATGAAGTAGATCGCATCAAATTATTTTCCTATTTAACTCCAATTTGTACTGAAAGTCTGAAACTAGTTCATTTTCAGTAAACGAGACTAATTAACATTACAATTTAGTGAGATTTGTATCACTTGAAACACATATTTTTCTTAAAATAATCTATTAAAAAGTGGATCCTCCGTTGTACTTGGGGCGAATATGTTTCTTTTCTACTGAAACCACGTATTAGTTATTGACAAGTAATCTAAGCTTCTTTTCACACAAATTACCAAAAAAATAAAAAAAGTGACCTAAACTTCACTGAATTGTGAATATATGTATCAATTCAAAACTACATAATTTAACCATTAGTATATATATGAAGGATTGAAAATAGATAAAACCAAGAAGTTCACAAAGCATATTGTAGAATTTCAAATTTAGTCAGTTTTCTGACAAAACATATATATAAATATAGACAAACTATATACGTCACGACATATAAAGCAAACTACAAACGATATATTATCGATATATAGGAAAATTAAACTTCGACACCATAGCTATATAGTACCGATCGATGACAAGAAGAATACGAATCATACGATCTTCAAAGAGAGTACATATCGGAGAGTGCTTTAAGGAACCTAAGCTTCAACTTCAAATGCACAATATAATCAACGGTCTTTGATAAAAGCAGATCCGGGTGGTTGCATCTCTGCCCGCCCGGTATCAGTATTTGGAGCCTCCTCACCTTCATTTGTAGTAACCGGGATCGTGATCCAGACCCATGATTCGTGTTGTTGTTGTTTCTCTTCTTCTTATTCATCGTCTGCTTCACCATCCTCTTGTATTTCTTCGAGTCCTCCATTGTCTTTTTGTTGAGTGACAACACTTTAGAGTTGTGATACAAACGAACGTGCGGGTGGTCCATATTTATATTGATTCTATGCTTCTAAACCTGAGAAGCTTTTTTACATTATTATGTTTTGTCTTTTAATACGTGCAATTATGGAATTTGTTGTTTTTAAAATGCTCGCCACACGCTCGATCTTGTTTATCCTTTTTATTTGTGCTTTGAGAAAGCATTATCCAATACAAAAATAACGTCGGTCGCTTAATTTGTATTTATTTACTACACGGGTTCCTAAAACTCGAAAGCTTTATAATCACGTGCTGGATTCACTAGCTTTTGGTGTTTTGATTTTTCTGTAGCTGATTTGAACAACTGTCTAATCTTTTTGAATAAATAATATATGAATCTTATTAAAATTGGTTTACATATGTTTTTATTTTAAGATTACAATAAGCACACGGGATTATTGTCTAAAATGCCATTTTTGGGAAAAAACTTACGAAAATGTTATTTTTTGAATAGTTTACGGATTTCGCTCTTTTTAAACACTTAAAAATGTACGTATTTTGTGTGTTTTTTTTTGCAAAAATACGTACTTTATACCAAATACTAAACCCTAAGAACAAATAGTATCGACTAAACCCAAACATAACGAGTGAAACGCATATTAAATCATATTTTTGGAACCTGAAGGGCAAAATCTACAAACTATTCAAAAAATGGCAAAATCCACAAATACCACTATGAAAATGGGCAAAATCCGTAATTAATGCTAAACACTAATAAGTGAGTCTTGGACTAGTGGCGTTATACCTTAATACCTATGTCCTTAGTTCAATTCTTGTTCGGGAATAGCTAGCTATTGAAAGTTCTAATAGGGAAATATTATGTACGGGTTTTAGCTAATAACTCTTCATTTAAACATTATTTTTTTTTACATAAGCTCCTTAATTAGATTAGAAAAGTTACTATAAAATGTATGATTTTTGTTGTTCCTTACCATCTCTTGGAACTATGACATTAACAACAAAATAACACTGCTTGGTGACATCACATCCTGATAAAACTATACACTCTAGAGTTCATGACTCCATAGTCTTAATTAAAACATTTACCCGAACAACATTATATTTTCTTCTCAATCACAGGTTTAGGTTTTTCAGTAAAATGGTTCTCAACTTTTTTACTCTCCCTCGCTTTTGTCTATTTAATCTTATACGATAGTGACATTTATGAGGCTAATAATGCAATGTGTGTGTTTGTGTGTTCCTAAGAGTTGGGGGGTATTGTTAAATGTTTTTGGGCCGACACTATGCAATGTTTGCAAGTGCCAACTGGATACTATGCACGTGTTTTCGACAGCTTAGCTTTTGCAAACTCTCGTTGTAGCCATCGATACTCGACATTGACGCGATCTCTCATTTCTCTTTGTCTTTTTTCTCTTTAATGTACATGGACTAATTGGGACTACATGGTTACACAAGTCTTTTATTAGCTATATATGTTGAACTATAATACAAATAAAAAGAAGAAAAACCTATGTTCAATTTTACATATGCTTAATTGGCTACAAATTTGTTAAACATACCACCGGTTACAAGAAAATTAACATATATCTATACTACCACTAGATTTTTCTTCAATTTTTATACAGTCGGAACCTTTGTTATATCAGTTTATTTCAATCAACATTTTCAGCATTAAAAAAAAAGACACTAGAAGAGCCGATTAATCACCTTTTGGTAATGTGAACAATCACAAATTCTATACTACAGTCGAGATCGGGGCATAGTGATTTAATTTCACAAATGGACCACTCTACGAATCACATGCAATTGTATGTGTGATAATGAACAATGATGATTGATGAATTGGATTACAAGTGGGCTTTAGTTTCGAGTTTAGGGTTTTTGACAGCCTGACCAAGATGGCTATGTGTGTGGCTGTCTGAGTGACCAATGACCATTTGGGGTTACTGTTATTACCTTTCAGCAAATTAACGTGCCTGATAGGTCACTTTGGGTCCCATTCTACCATCATTTCTCACCGTCCGATCATTTCCCATACGTATCATTTCCACTACTGCATGGTTCTCTATTTTTTTTTTTTAATCTATTAATTTATACAATTTTTTTATATATTGAAGATTGTTCATGCATGGAAGAGGAGAGGCACCGCAGTCTACGGAAACAGCTCCCTACTTATTGTATGTTTTCATTTTTTAGGGGTTTTTTGGGGTAAATTTGGCGGGATTCCGGAACATCTATTGAAATATTATTTTTCAGTTTTTCCCCATAAAACTTAGTGATTCGAAAATATCTATATATACATTTTTGGATCATAATTAGCAAATAAATCCTGAAGTTGAGAAGTATTTACAATGACATGCCACTAGCATTAATTATTTAGATTTATTTTATTTAAGTAAAGATTTTTAATTGAAATTCATTTCTCATATATTTAGCAAAAGTCTCTACAAAATTTTTCCTTATCTATTTAAGTAAAGATTCTGAAATCAAATATGTTCTCAACAATTTACCAAAAATTTCTACACAATCTTTTTAAAAATCTCGACTTAGTTAACTTCTGATTTTTATCTGCAAAAAAAAAAATTAATTGTAACGAGTGATGTAAAAATCGGGAATGTTGATACTACAATTTCTTCTACTTCTTTTTTTTCATATAATAAAAATTATCTATATATACATTTTTGGATAAAACCTCTAAACAAAACAAAGGGTTTCAAAAGATAGCTTCTCTTTTGGCGGGTCGATCCGCAAACCCGCAGCTCTCTACGGGCTTATCCGCATGAACCTGCAACCCGTAGTGGATAAAAATATTATTCAAAAAAAATAACAAATGATGTTTAATTTTTCGGGACGGGGTTATATGGTGCAACGGGTTTAGATCAATATTAATATTAAACAATATATTATGGATGAAATCCTAGAATTAAAAATCAAAATTTAATTATAAAATCAGAAACACTAAACAAAATAAACAATATTAACAAAACAAATACAACTTAAAATTTTGCAAAATAATTTTTTAGTTATAAAAAAATTGATCCGCGGTGTACCACGGGGTAAAATCTAGATTTAGAAGTTTAAGGAGAATTTTTTTAAAAAAAAATAGCTCTGCTGTGTACCGCAAGAAAAATCTTTTTCCTAAACTGAGGCAAAAAGAAGAAGAAAGCCAAATGTCGTTTAAGTGTATATATAGATATACCATTTAAACCTAAAACACAATTAATATACTCAAAATTATTAATATAGATATATGGATGGTACATTTATAAAATAGGTCAAAATATTATATTATATACTCTCTATTAATAAACAAAACTAATTATATTTAGATTTTTTAAAAAAAATTATAGCCCCGCGGTGTATCGCGGGTTCAAATCTAGTATAATCTTATTTATGCATTCGCATAAAACTATTTCACTACAATTAAATGTTTTTCGATAACTGATATATACACGAAACATGTGACTTTCTTTTTAAAATAGTATAATGATCATACGGTGGCGCATTTTCCAATTTATCGGCTTCTTTAGATTTAAATTATTTGTACATGTGAATTGCACATGATGTGTTGAATATCAAAGTCTATGATCGCAACGATTCTTTCTTGATATATAAATTAAAGACATTGCATAATGTGATAGGTTTTCTTTAGGGTAGGACTATATATATCTTAATTCGTTCATGTGCTTTGCATAAATGTTAACATGATTGCATATAAAATATTGTTGATTAATTATTCCCTCAATTTATTTTTGCCAGCTTCACTTCCCATTTAGTCCATACGGATTTGCTATTAGTGTATGGATGAATAAAAGATACTCATGTATTTGTTGCAAGTGTTTGACTGGTTGGTTACATCAACATCCAAATTAACTCAATATACATATAACCATAATCAATGGCGGACCCAGAAATTTTTTTTACCCAGTGCAAAATTATAATCGTAAATAATTTGTTTTATCATATATACTTTACAAATAAAAATAACAGAAAAATCTCTTCAAAAATAAGAATAAATTTTGAGCAAAACAATTTGTATTTTTAATATTATTCAAAGTTAAACTATTATAATAATAAAATGAACAAATGTTGAAAATGATTAGTTTTTTTTGATGAATTGAAAATGATTAGTTTGAATAGAAGAAACACTTAACATATCTTTAAAATATCTAATGAAATTATTGGTATGCATTTAACAGAGATTGCAATTTCAGCAATTTTACCATAATAAAATTAAATATAAAACTGGGAATAGGATCTTTTGTAGGATTTTATGCTCATTTTGTATTAAATGTTATAAGTGTTCTTAAAACTTTAAGAAAGAAAACAAAAAATTGTATGTTTTTTTCCTTTTAAGTGAAAAAGGTGCAAACGGAAAAAATTAACATGTGTCAATCAATAATTTTTCTCAAAATTAAACCAGGTCACTTGACCTTCCTATTGTCTACGTGGGTCCTCCCATGACCATAATGCATGCAGCCCATGCTCTCGTGTGTTTTGGCCAACTCAACTACCAACCAGATGAGTGTACGTCGGTTGATGGTCACAAAATGCAAGATTCGAAAACGAATCTTTCTTAGCCGGCAAATATTAACGCATAACAAAAATTGATAATGAGATAACTATTTGTTATTTTATTACAAGTTTTGGATAGACTTTTTTTTTTTTTTGCTTTCTAGTCTATCTAAATTAGGTCTCAATATTATTTTAAGAATATATAGTTCTTCGAATAAAAAAATTAGGTAAAAGATCTTGATTTTTAAAACGTCAGTTTTTGGTTGTTTAACTTGAAAATAATTTTTTGATTCGAGGACGACTTTCTTCTTCTCGTCGAGAAAGAATGATGGACTCATAAAAGCTATCTAATGTTGGCTTGACTAGAATACATGTGCCCAAAAGATGCACTTTCAGCATTTGGCATGGTTGTCAAATTAGGTACCCTTACTGAAGCCAACAATAGTGGGTTGTTACTTGTTAGTCACTCTTAAGAACCAAAACCTAAACAGTAAAAGAGACTTGGAGGATGGAATGAGCTGGATAGAGTATTAAAATGTTTATGAAGCATTATAGAATTTACTTATTGCCAAAGGTAGTTGGAGGAATAACAGAGATGCATGACGTTAATGGTTTAATGTCCAAAGCATTACAATCGCTCCTAGAGATACCTAAAATC